AGTGTTTAGTCATCATGTGACCAGGGCCGAGGTATTAGTCATCATGTGACCAGGGCCGAGGTATTAGTCATCATGTGATCGGGGCCGAGGTATTAGTCATCATGTGACCGGGGCCGAGGTATTAGTCATCATGTGACCGGGGCCCAGGTATTAGTCATGTGGGACTTTTGAGGGGCCGATGTCGGGGGACAATCCGGGAGCCCTGAAGAGAGGTCACATGACCAATGCCTCCGCGTTTCTCCACAGGCTCCTCCTCATTATGTTATTTGCTATCTCTCCAGGATACACCATCCTGAACCCGGAGCAGCTGCTGAGAGTGGAGGAGGGGCAGGAGTCTTCACAGGCCGGAGAGAAGGTTCCAGAACACAAGAACCATAATGTCCTCACAGCCGGTAAAGCTTTATTATAGATCTGTGATCGCCCCACAGCCCCCCGACCTGCTCCGTGCGACCCCCCCGAGACACGGCAATGTCGGAGCACCGACACCCCCAATACCCTCACTCATAGTATTATGTCTCCGTCCTTCCCAGGGGCCCCCATGTTTAACCCCGACATTTCCCTATGGATCCGCGAGGTGGCGGAGGAGGAGGACGCGACCAAGCCGGAGAAGTCGGAGCAGCCGGCAGTGCGGGAGAGTCCCAGCCCAGGTGTACCCCACAGGGCAAGATTTAGTATATAGCGCCGACATATACCGCAGTGCTGTACAGGAAACACCCAATCAGTCTGCACCAGAGGAGCTTACACTCTAGTGCCATGTACAGAGGAGCTTACACTCTAATGTCCCCACCCACAGTCACATCAGTGTCTGTACAGAGGAGCTTACACTCTAATGTCCCCACCCACAGTCACACACTATTATTATACATTTATTAGAATGTTTTTCCTCCTACCTGTTTCCATGGCAGCTGTAGGAGGTTAGGTGCGGGGTATCTAGGTGCAGGTCGGGTGATAGTTCTCTCTGAGTTGTGGGGAATGTTGATGGCGTGTGCTGACTGCGCTGTGTTTGCACAGAGGTCCCCATCCTGAAGCCGGACATCTGTCTGAGAATAAAGCCGGATGAGTTGGTCTTTGAGGCTTGTCCAGACCCGGAGGCCGGGGATACCGACAATGAGGCTGGTACGTAACTACCGGGGTCAGACCAAGGTGATTATCAGGGGCCAGCTTACCCTGGTGGGATCAGTCACCTCCATGGCGTCTTCTCTGACATCTGAAGATCCCTCCGATTTTATCCCTGGCTTTGTTACCACCTCTGGATGAGATCAGATCCGGAATGACACCGAGGCCCTCACACCAGGAGAGGCCAAACCAGGGGGGGATGGGAGCTGCACCATATAGCAAAGAGGCTCCACCCATTAATGCATCACAGGCAGAAAGGAACATGGATGTGTAGGGGAGGAAAACTCAGCACAGGGATGGTGGGAGCCCCTCATAATGGGCACAGCAGGGGTACAGACCCGGGAACTCAGCTCAGGGATGGTGGGGGCCCCTCATCATGGGCACAGCGGGTGTACAGACCCGAGAACTCAGCACAGGGATGGTGGGATCTCATAATGGGCACAGCAGGGGTACAGACCCGGGAACTCAGCTCAGGGATGGTGGGGGCCCCTCATCATGGGCACAGCGGGTGTACAGACCCGAGAACTCAGCACAGGGATGGTGGGATCTCATAATGGGCACAGCAGGGGTACAGACCCGGGAACTCAGCTCAGGGATGGTGGGGGCCCCTCATCATGGGCACAGCGGGTGTACAGACCCGAGAACTCAGCACAGGGATGGTGGGATCTCATAATGGGCACAGCAGGGGTACAGACCCGGGAACTCAGCTCAGGGATGGTGGGGGCCCCTCATCATGGGCACAGCGGGTGTACAGACCCGAGAACTCAGCACAGGGATGGTGGGATCTCATAATGGGCACAGCAGGGGTACAGACCCGGGAACTCAGCTCAGGGATGGTGGGGGCCCCTCATCATGGGCACAGCGGGTGTACAGACCCGAGAACTCAGCACAGGGATGGTGGGATCTCATAATGGGCACAGCAGGGGTACAGACCCGGGAACTCAGCTCAGGGATGGTGGGGGCCCCTCATCATGGGCACAGCGGGTGTACAGACCCGAGAACTCAGCACAGGGATGGTGGGATCTCATAATGGGCACAGCAGGGGTACAGACCCGGGAACTCAGCTCAGGGATGGTGGGGGCCCCTCATCATGGGCACAGCGGGTGTACAGACCCGAGAACTCAGCACAGGGATGGTGGGATCTCATAATGGGCACAGCAGGGGTACAGACCCGGGAACTCAGCTCAGGGATGGTGGGGGCCCCTCATCATGGGCACAGCGGGTGTACAGACCCGAGAACTCAGCACAGGGATGGTGGGATCTCATAATGGGCACAGCAGGGGTACAGACCCGGGAACTCAGCATAGGGTTGGTGGGAGACGCTCATAATGGACACGGCAATATGACTCTCAGGATGGTGAGACCCTCCTCTTGTGTCCCGGCAGGATCGGGCATCTCGGTCACCATTGAGGGGGACGATGAACCTTTCTGGCTGAACGTCCAGGAGACGGAGACGGATAATGAGGAGATGCTGAGCGAGCACCATATAGGTAAGCAATGTCCGGTGTGAGCCACATGTCAGAGGAAGATGTCTGAGTTCCCTTTCATTCATTGGATTTCAGTTCTTTCAATCATGGAGGCTCGGCATCACACGTGGGCGTCACCTAGGGTGGTCCGCATACAAATACAGCCTGCCTAGGATTTTGGAATTTGCATAACTCCTCCTAAGAGCCAGCTCACTGCTCGCATCAGGGCTGAGGGCTCTTGGGAGGAGTACTTAGGCATCGTGTTCTAAAAGTAGACTTGTCCTTTAAAATGTTTTTAAAGCCAAGGTTTGTTTCTCAGTTTTGGTTGGCATAGGTAAGGTTAGAAATAGGGATGCACCGATACTAGTATCGGTATCGGTGCCAAGTACTCGTAGTCGCCCCAAATGGTCCGTTGCTCCGGCTTCCTGGTATCAGGAAACCGGGCAGCACGTCATTACATGCTGTCCGGCTTCCTGATTGGCCGGGAAGCCTGCTTCATGCTCCCTCGTCCACTTATGACGAGAAAGCATGGAGCCGGCTTCCCGGCCGGTCATTACACAGCGCCCAGCTTCCCTGTTGGCCAGAAAGCTGGCTCCATGCTTTCTCGTCATCTAGTGACAAGAAGCTTGGGGACGGCTTCCCTGCTAATCAGGAAGCCAGGTGGCGAGTCATTACACGCCGCCTGGCTTCCTGAATGGGACTCCCGTTATCGGATTCAGTATCGGCGAGTACCGGGAAAAAAAATATCGGTACTCGATACCGAAATACTGGTATCGGTGAACCCCTAGTTAGAAACCATATTAGGTCTTTATTGCTGCATTGGTTTCCTCTGGGGAACTTCACCGTCTCAATTTGGCTTGGTGACCATTGTCCTCGGGACTGAAATTGATGGCACATTCAAAATTCGGAGTTGTCACCCAAAACAAAGATAAAGGGGGAACTCATTGAATGGGGACACCTCTTTTGGTGGCAGCTGTCAAGGGAGCAGCCGTGAACTTGTTTTAAACTGAATTAGAAGGTCGCTCTGCATAAAGTTCCGTGTTTCCCCGAAAATAAGACACTGTCTTATATTTTTTTTGGCTCAAAAAAAACACACCAGGTCTTATTTTCGGGGTAGGTCTTATATTTTTTCTTTTATGTACAACAATCCACACTTGTTCATGTACAAAAATATGGCAATCAGGGGTGCCGTACCTTTCCAAGAGCAAGTTGGTAACCAATCGCTGGCCAGAATGAGCAAAGCGCGCTTTCACTATGGATTCCTCACAGGGGGAGTGAATTTGGTATCACTCCGCCTGTGACAGGAGTCGGCGCTATAGAGGAGGCATCGGCTCATGCGGCTCTGCTCCCTCCGGTGCCGCCTCGCTTCCTCTAGCACTGGCTTCGTTGGCACCACTGATTCTCTCCCGCAGCTCTTCAAGTTCCCCCTTATGCCACCATCGGCCCTGGGAATGGTCACAACTAGGTCTTATATTTTAGCAATTCACAAAAATAGTACTAGGTCTTTTTTTGGGGGTAGGTCTTATTTTCGTGGAAACACAGTATTTGGTGGGACCCTCATTTTGGGCAGCCTAGAGCCACCTGATCACTTCTTTATCTCAAAACTAAAACCTGACAGAGGTCCTGACCCTTCCCCACAGGGTTGAAGATTCTGGTATGGATTGATATGGTTGGTGTTTAGAAGTAATGCTGCAGAACTTTTATTATATAGTCTTCATCTTTGTTTTTGTTGTTCCAGATAATGAGTTTTTAAGCAGCCCAGCTGAGGACCATCTGTCGGGCCTCCAACCCAACGGACTGTCCTTCGAAAATGGTTCCTTCGAGGAATGGGACAACCCATCCCCCGTTCGCCTCCCACGCCCCAGAAAATGCCAGTCTATATTCAGGATCGGCCAGCCCCTCTCTGAGCAGGCATATGACTTCGAGGAGCCGTCGAGCCCCGTGGAGATGCGAGCGTTCCAGTGTTCGCAGTGCCAGCAGAGCTTCAGCGAGCGCGAGACCCTCCTTTTGCATCAGACTGTCCATGCCACTTGGAACCATGACGCGCAGGAAGACCGAGGAGATGAGTACATAGTCCCCGCCCCTTCGTCTTCCGCCATCATCAGAAGCTGCCCCGCCCCGTACCTATGCGGGGACTGTGGCAAAGGTTTCAACAGCTCCTACAAGCTGAAGATCCACCAGAGAATTCACACAGGGGAACGCCCTTACAAGTGCCTCGTATGTGAGAAACGCTTCCACAAGAGCGCCCACCTGAAGGTCCACCACCGTACCCACACGGGGGAGCGGCCTTACGGCTGCCAGGTGTGCGGCAAGAGGTTTACCAAATCCTACCATCTGAAGGTCCACCTCCGGACCCATACCGGCGAACGCCCTTACCAGTGCCCTATTTGCCACAAAACCTTCAGCGTCAACTCACACCTGACTGTCCACATAAGGACTCACTCAGGCGAAAAGCCCTTTGTCTGCTTCGAGTGCGGCAAGAGCTTTCGGCAAAAGACCAGCCTCCTCAGCCATCAGAAGTCCCACCAGCGCTTAGTAGAGCGGCGGAAGCTGACGTGGAAGACTTTGTGGCCGGAGAAATGAAAAGGCCTCCAGCTCTTTCTAGCTCAGCATTTAACTCTTCTAAGAGCAGTTACTAACTGGCGAGAAGCGTTTTTACTTCTTGAGGAACATGGAACGGTGGTGTGACCAGTAATCTCTGTACCAGTTGAGGGGTTGCTGCCAGTTGCAGGAGTAGTACTGCCAAAAGTGGACCCAGGACACTGATCCTACGTTTAAGGCCTACCTGGGCTCTTTATAGCAACCCAAAGGTGGTGTATACAAGAATTTGGTAGCTGCTAGTGTAGATGTTGATGAGTTCTTAACCAACCCTTGTCCAACCTGAGCTCTATTACATATGACATAGAGGAGCCCCAGTGTTCGGTCACCTATGCCCCTTGGCCTGTAATATCCACTGTCCTGGGTTGTGAGATGGCCTGGGTGATCTATCCTGGCTAGAGCCAGCCTTATGGGTTGGGGCACAGACTGGATATCAGGACTCGCATTCTGGTCCCTCCTGTCTGTGACATCACCAAAATAGCACTGCTGGGAATCCACGACCGACTCTTCGCAGCACCAAGTATCAATAAGCAGTTTAAGATGAATATCAGTTTATCCCAAGGATCACATACAGTTGTGTGAAAAAGAAAGGACACCCTCTTTGAGTTCTGTGATTTTAGTGATCAGGACATAATAAAATCATCTGGTTTTAAAATTAGGTAAATACAACCTCAGGCGATCAACAACACATGACGTATCAGGCCGTGTCATTATTTTACAAGCAGAACGCCAAAATGGAGAGGTTATGTGTGGAAAAACTAAGTACACCCTTACTGCTTCCATAGGAATTAGGAGGCTGAGTAGCAGGCTGGTGCTGCTAACCAAATTGATCATTTGATCATCAGCAAGTGCGACCACCTCTATAAAACTGGACGTTTTCGCAGTTTCCTGGTCTGGAGCATTGAGGAGTGCAATAACACAATGCCAAGGAGGCAAGAAATCAGCAACGATCATACAGAAGGAATTGTTGCTGCTCATCAATCTGGGAAGGGTTATAAGGCCATTTCCAAACAATTTAAAGTCCAGCATTCTACAGTGAGGGAGATTATTCACAAGTGGAAACCATTGAAGACCGTTGTCAGTCTTCCCAGGAGTGGACGACCCCAAGGTCAGACTGTGCAATGCTCAGAGAAATTACAAGAAACCCCCAAGAGTTCCATCTCCGACTCTACAGGCCTCAGTTAGCATGTTAAATATAAAAGTTCATGACAGTAGACGGGTGCACTGCCCAAAAATTTGTTTTCTGACCAAACAAATGAAACAAAAAACAAATGTTTCGTCTGTTTAGGGTTCGGAGGTAATGAGCCTCCGAAAACCGTACAAAGAGGAAGCGGAATGAGCGGTGGCCATGTCGGCCGCCAGCCCGTTCTGCGCTTGCAGGCCGCCACCTTTGAGTGTATCTTGTACGAAGATGGCGGCGCTCGTTTGTTCAGGGGCCGCCATCTTGGTGTATACCAAGATATACACAAAGATGGCGGCGTGCAACATGTGCGGTGTTATATGACATCATGCGCCCTGCCAGGTGTGACGTCACACAGAAAATGCAGAACGAGCGGTGGCCATATCGGCCGCCGGCGCGTTCTGCGCATCTTTGAGTGTATCTTGGTATACACCAAGATGGCGGCGCCCATATGTTCCAAGATACACTAAAAGATGGCGGCGCACCTGCGCAGAATGCACCAGCGGCCAATGTGGACACCCCTCGTTCTGCACACTAATTTATGTATGCCCGAATATAGTTTTAGTATATTGGGGCATATAATACATCTGTTATTTTGGATTCGGACGAACCACCGATTCAACTGAATTTCGTTGATTTGCAGGTTCGTCCGAATCCGAATGCGCATGTCTACATGGCAGTACAATTAGAAAAAACTGAACCACTATGGTTTGTTCAGAAGGGTTGCCAGGAGAAAGTATCTTCTCTCTAAAAAGAGGACGGCTTAGGTTTGCAAAGTTGCATCTGAACAAACCACAAGACTTCTGCAATAATGTTCTTTGGCAGATGAGACCAAAGTGGAGATGTTTGGCCATGACACACAGCACCACATTTGGGGAAAACTAAACACAGCATATGAGCACAAACACCTCATACCAACTGTCAAGCACGGTGGTGGAGGGGTGATGAATTGGAGTTGCTTTGCAGCCACAGGACATGGGCACCTTGCAGTCATTGAGTCGACCATGAACTCCTCTGTATCCCAAAATATTCTAGAGTCAAATGTGAGGCCATCTGTCTCGCAGCTAAAGCTTGGCCAAAATTGGGTCATGCGACAGGACAATGATCCAAAGCACACCAGCAAATCTACAACAGAATGGCTGAAAAAGAAAAGAATCAAGGTGTTTACATAGCCCAGTCAAAGTCCAGACCACAACCCGATTGAAATGCTGTGGCGGGATCTTAAGAGGGCTGTACATAAACAAATGCTTACAACATTGTAAAGAAAAGGGGGCCAAAATTCCTCCACAACGATGTGACAGACTAATAAAGTCCTACAGAACACCACGACTTCCAGTTATTGCTTCTTAAGGCGGTTCTACAAGATATTGAATCATAAGGTGTACTTAGTTTTTCTCCATAACTTCTTCATTTTGGCTTTATGCTTGTAAAATAAATAATTGTCCAAAAGTTTCTTGAGTGTAGATTTGTTCAAGAAACGTTTGGACAATTTCTTGAGGAACCGTAATATCCAGGGATACCAGTATCCCTAAGAATGAGATGATGCGTGGACCTATATGGGTTGGACTTGATGGACGTATGTCTTTATTCAACCCCAAATACTATGTAACTATGTATGTAATGGTGCGGTGTGATATGTCATGTGTTGTTCATCTGAGGTTGTATTTACCTCATTTTAAAGGGCCGATTAACACCACATCCAGATAATCTCCAGACCAGACAGGATTGTTTCCGGACCCAAAGTGCATCCTAATGTATCCCTATGCTATTTCTGGCCTCTGATCACACCAGTGCAGTCTGTTCCAGACCAGACAAATACTGCAGGTCTCATTTTGTCTGGTCTGGAATGGACTGGAACTCCGGGCAGGTTCACACCATTTTTCCGGGCCAGATCCGGTCCAGGAAAATGGTGTGAACCTGCCCTTAGACCTGCTGAGCATCCTGATACGTAAAACCATTAATTCAAAGAGGGTGTACTTTCTTTTTCAAGTTAATTGATGAGCTAAAATCTGGCAAATTAGAGGTGCTACTGAGCTCTCCCGGGCTCCATATTAGGCCTGTGATGCCTCGAAGGAGTACCGAACATTTTCCTGGAAGCTCCCGTCCCATCGCTGTGATCTCATCATCTGTAGGGACTGGACACAGAATGAGCTCATGGGCCAGTCCATTGATCTCGCAGCGATTCACACCTTCAGGAGCTCCAAAAACATCAGGTGCACAGAAGACTGTTGCCTACTCTTCCACTTGTGTTGTACGATAAATTCTAGATTTCTAGATATATTCTATATCGGAGAGAGGTGTGGTTTTAATTTGTAGCTTTGTGACCATACTGGACATGGTAACCACTGTTTTCAAAATTAATTATCCACACTCGCCCACACCCCCCACCCCCTTGGATATATATACTACCAAAGATCCTACAGACCAGCCGCCGATCACGCTACCAGGGTCTAAAACATTCCGACTCCATGCTGTCCGTTATAGCAATTAAGACATGACACATGTGACCAGTAAACAGAACGTTGTGCAATTGCCCGCCGAGTCGACATTCTTGAAATGTTGGTGTAAATGTTCAGGTCTTCCTTGTTATTATTGTGTTGGTAATTGGAATGGTAATGTGATGAAAGGCTGGAGGACATGCACACAATTGCAGAGGTTGAGGCAATCTGCCAAGCTGGTTCATCAAGTCTACCTGTTGTCATTATTATACTGTACATGGAGTCTCCAATAAGGCTGCAACAACTAATCGATTATGCGAATAGTTGGCAACTATTCTCATTATCGGTTATTTGATTGGGGGGGGATTTTTTTAATGCAACCAATCGATTAGTTGTTAAAATAATCGGGCAACTAATCGAAAAGCCCTAACCCCATAGTTTTCCTTTAATGCCTGTTGTGTCACTTCCTGTGTGCCTGTCCTTTGTGCGTATTTCGGATTGTGCTCGAATGCGCACCACAGCATATTTCCGTCCAGTTCTATAGGGATGTTTGCGTGCATGCGTGGCTGTCGTCTTTAGCTTATATTTGGACAGGTGAGACCCTAAGTATACCCTAAGTATATATATATACAGGGGAGATTTTTTTTAATGCAACCAATCGATTCGTTGTTAAAATAATCGGGCAACTAATCGATTATGAAAATAATCGTTAGCTGCAGCCCAAGTCTCCAACTGCCTTTTTGGATGGCTTTGTGCCTAACTTCTTGTCCTGTTTCTTCCCACTGTAGGGTGTTGCCTCCTTCTCTTGTTGCATTTTTTTAAGTACGTCAGGTTACAAATCCAGCAGTAGGAATGGGGCCCCCTTGTAATGTCCATAGTAGACACAGGGACTCAGATACCAAAAAAGTAAGGCCCGTTGCACCTAATAATGTAAAAGACCTGGTCAGACACTCCCCCTTCTCTGGTCAGACACTCCCCCTTCTCTGTTCATACACACACTGTCATGTACCTGGTTGGAGACTGAATGTGTGAGGAGGCCTCCCATGCACCTCGTGTCCCGAGGACTCTGGAGTTGGGGACAGAGTCCAAGCAGACAGCGAGTGGCATGGGTGCCAGTGGTGGTAACACCGTGCAAGCTGGAGTCCAGATGCTGGTTGCCGAGCAGGGCAAGATCCGTAATCAAGGTCAAACGAGCCAAGGTCACACCAGTCGGGCAGGCAAGGTACAAAAGGAGGCAGAGGCAAAGTCCAGTAAACAATCAAAGGTCACGGGGCAGGCAGCAAACAAGAAAGGTCAATGATAATAAATCCGGGTCAGAGGTCAGGCAATACAAAGCAGGGAATCACAGGGGAGCTGAAAGACAATCCAGCAAGTTGGAGACAGGCAGGCTGAGCTTAAATAGAGAGATCCGTTAGCCCATTGTGTCACTTCCTGTGCGCCGTTTGGCGTGCTTATTGCGGCCGGTCCGTGGCGCATGCGCGTATGTGCCCATTTTCCAATGGTATGGAAAATGGGACTCCGCGCATGCACAATAACAGATGGTCTCTGACACACCCTCTGTTTGCCTATATAGTCCTCCTATACAAG